TACTGGTGCTGTCTGCTGTACCTGCAGGGGTCCCCAGCAGCCACACTTTGGGTTTTATACAAGTTTTCAACGTCAGAAGTCTTTACCAGCATTAACCTAGCCTCACATCTTCTCTGTGAAGAGGGCAAGTGTACCTAGCCCATCTTTATGGGGCAAAAAAAGTAGAATATGTTAAACAGAAAGGCTGACCCAATGGCTAGGACTCAGGAGAGTTGTGTTTGGTTTCTTGTTTCTCTCCCTCTTACCTTCAGTTAGGGCACAAACTAGGGATAATGATACTTCCTTTTCCCAAACAAACCATTTGTTTTGCCTATTTAGGTAGCAAGCTCCTCAGAAGAGCATCTGTTTCTTACTTTACATTGGTACAATGCTTAATATAATAGGGCCTGTAAGTAGTCCCATATAACCACTACACTGCCCCAGAACAATACCGGAAGTCAGAGTGAAGATGAGCTTTTGGACTTCTAGTTCACATCCTTCTACTCCCCTATTCCATGCCCCTCTGAGCAGAATCAGCATGTTGCTTCAAAACAAAGCAAGCAATTTTAGCCTGGTAAAGTAAATTAACATAAATTGATAGCATTATATTGGCAGCAAGGCACTCCATACTTCCATTAAGGTTACAGAGACTTTTTCCGTGTAAACAGTTAAGACAGCCAACTTCAAATATTTGGAAGAAATGTTTATTTAACAACTGAATACATGCTAAAAGAAATAATTTACAGCAGCAGTTTCATTACATTTTTTTCTCTCCAGTTTTCTAGTTCCCATCTGAATTGCAGTGATAAATACAAAAGTAGAATTATTTACTATCCAGTGAGAAATGTGCTTACAGAATGGCACATAACTTTGGCACCGAAATAGCAAATAAACCACCTCATCACCTGTGTGGCAAAACTTTGCATTTTAGTATTATGCTGAACACACTGAAATGGAGTACCTCTAGATAGCAGTACTTTACACTGTACCTCCTTACCTAGTCAAAAATATTTACATCTCTTTTGGCTAATGTGTAGGTAGCAAAAACTGAACTATTAAACACATACCATTGATATTCACTAAATAATACATAAAAAAAGATCAGTAAATGCGCATTCACATGCATTTAATTTTTTTTTTTTACATAGTGACTTCACTAGGGGCATGAAGGTTTAATTCGATTCTGCAAAGATGCACATTTTCTTAGCTTGATACTGTTGTTTAACATAACCATACAGTCATTATGAGCCATTGAACAAACTCCCATCTTCAGTGGTCCATGCAAACATGAAGGGTTGACTAATAAGAAGAATAATTTCAATAGAGTTTTGTGGTTATAAGTGAAATCCTTTATTTCTCTCCAGCTTAAACAGAACCATTAGTTTGTTTCACCTAAAGTTTGGAACTAGAGGTTTAGAGATCTGTGTGGATGTTTTATGTAAGTGTTGCTTTTTTATTTGAAATGTTATGTCATATTTTAAAACAGAATACAAATGGGAAGCATGACATACTGATATTGCAGGGCATCCTTCTATACGTGAATTCGTCACAGTTTCTGTTCTCTGAAATCAGCTCATTTCAAATAGTATTATGTGCCACTGTAACTCAACAGCAATATCAATCCAATAATCAACTATTTAACCTTAGGCCTGATGCTGTAAGCCTTTTCTCATGTCTGTACCATACCAATTTAAGCAGGATTATCTATGCCAATGAGGACTGCTCATGTGAGTCAAAATTTGAGTCCCTGATTGTTTCAGTAGCACAGTTAAACATGTTATGATACGGCAAAACTTCACGGCTGCTTTCATAGATTTCATAAAAATTTACAGATACGTACATACATACATATATACATACATATATATGTATCTCCAATACATCTTGTTCTCAATGCATTGCTATAAAAAGGAGCATAGCTGAGGAAAAAGTATTAGATGGAAGTCACCACTTACTATACAAAAAAAGGGAACTGGGTAAATTAGAGCCCATCCATCAGAGTCTTTCTCATGAATGCTATGGGCTTTGGATTTCATTTTAAAAGTTTTCCCCCTTTTTTAACAAAGAGGATTCTAATGACTTAGTGGTACACAATAGGCCTCTTAGGCTGACTATTGATTTAACAACTCTAGTTGATAACAGTGGGCACATCTACACGTAGAATTAGTGTGATATAAGTAATGCACATTAAAACTAATACCTCCATTGTGAGGCACTAGAAAATGTGTATTAGCTTATTTTAATGTGCATTAGGGAAAGAGCATAGTTTTTTGTGATGCTTTAATTCACATTAAAATAGTCTAATGTGCATTAAAGCACACATGTAGACATGGCCAGTGTTCGCATTTCATTGCAGCCTGAGCTGAAAAATGAGTATTCCCCTCCTATCTGAAACATTAAAGCACTTATACACACAGTTGAACATATGCTTAAGTCCATCCTTATTCAGTCTAGCAAATAATCATAGCTTAACTTAAGCACATACTCAAGACCTATGGAAATCAAAATGTGATAAAAAAGGTATCTACCTTTTTCCTAAGGGATGTGTTTTAAAGATAAATGTGCTTTGCTAAATTACGGTCTCAGAATCCTGCCAGCCCTATTCAATGACAGTTTTGCCAAAAAATTAATTGGCAACCAAACTGGATGCTTTAGAGTCTGATCCTGTAACTTCTCCATGGACAAAACTCCTCTTAAGCAGACTCAAGTACTGGTATACAGAACTTGACCCTTTATTACAAATATTTTGCAATGAAGGTAGGGAACTTCAGTGATTAGAAAGAACAGGTTTTTACTGAGTAATAAAAGGACCTGGGTCACCTTGGGAGAGATGCTGTTTACTGAGATGTGTTGTAATGCATGTGCTAATGCTGACATGACTGTGATTCACCAAAGCAACAAGTCGTAGTGATTAACCATAAAACAGCTGGCTATTAACCTCTTTACAATACAGGGCACACTTTTATAAAGCTGTTCTAGCAAACAAAGAATTCCACATTTGTTCTAGTAAACTCCTTCCCAGTGACACTAGTTGAAGCTAAGCATATATTAAGAGTAGTTCACCAACCATACCAAGGTGAGATCTGGGAGGCAAAAGACCTATGACAATAGACCTTGATAGAAATGGGAACCAAAGAAATATTTATTTTGGAGTGGACCAAAACCATTACCCATATTGTCCTTAAACCTGCTGTTCATATAGAACAGTGGTAGTCAGAGTTACTTGCCCTGGGAGCCATATCCAATCCTCCACTGAAGCTGGAGATTGGGGGGAAGAGGTGCGGCTTCTCCACCAAAGCTCCATTGAAGCCCTGCCTACTTCTCCCTGAGGCAGCAGCCTGGTGTCCCCAGGAGCCACCTTGGGGAGAAGTAGGCAGGGCTTTGGTGGAGAAGTCCTAGAAAGTTGCAAGAACCATGCTGGCAAGCCACATGCAACTCATGAGCCACAGTTTGGCCACCATTGATATAGTACAAGTGCACTGTACTTGGCTTTATCCTGTAATCCTGCTGCATATAGAATAATATCCCTTAGCATCAATGGAAGTTACCTATCCAAGGGCAAATCCTCACTGGTATAAATTTGCTCCTTTGAGTTCAATACAGCTATTCCAATTTTTAGTAGCTGGAGCTTTGGCTTGAATTGTTCAATCGACTCTTAAGTCTTAAGCATAGAGTCCAGGGGTACAGAACAAAGTGACAATTTTTGCCCCATCTGGCCACAGAAAGAGTCTATGGCCATGACCAAACACACGTGCATGGCTGTAGGCAGCTTCAAAAATGACTGATTGAGTGAAAATCTGACCCCTCATTGCATGAGGTATCAGATAAAGACATTTCAAAATGTAGTTTCTTTTGTAACTTGTGTCTGCAGAACTCCCAGCCTGTCACTGTTTTCAGAATGGGAGGGGGGAAAGGAAGCAGAGGAAGATCAGTCGGGGGGTGGGGGGCAGCTCCCCCCCAGAAGGTGGAAAGTGGGTATGGGAGCCCTCCGAGGTGGGGGCGGCTCCAATTCACTCACCCCACATTTCAGCTTTGCCCCCCACTTCCCATTCTGAAAACAGGAAGTACCAGCAGAGAGCCATGGCCATTGCTATGGAAACTTGGCTGCAGGCTCCCAGCCCAAAGCTAGATTCCCCTCCCCCTTGGAACCAACAGTGAACTTCTGTCTGGTCCAGGGTAATGCTGTAACTCAGAAAGCTTTGCAGAACATGTTCTGAGTTACAGCTGGGAGCTGCACTTCTGTCTGCACCCCTCGCATACCATGTAAGCAGGGGTGTGCTGTGTTTGTTTAAAAAAACTTAGCTCACAAAAAAAATGGAGACTAAGAATTGTAGACATTATCCTACTATTGAGTTAGGAGCAAAACTACTAAATCAAATAGGAGTTTTTTTCTTACTGAATAACAGCTTTCTATGAGACACAGTATCTAGCCACCTTCATTAACACATTTTCATGAACCAGCAAAGCAATTGTGTATTTATTAAAAGGGAAGGGTTTTTTTTAATGTTTTTGAAATAAAAATATATATAACTTAAATCAAATGCTTTGTTCTTCATTGGTTCCATCTATTTTGCTTGGTATCAAGATATTGTACAAGTTGATCTTTTACATAGACATTTAAAAAAGAATTAAAAAATGCAAAAGACTTCCATGCCATACAGAGACTTTTGTGTTAAAATAGCTTAGTTTTACAACTGCTTAGAAGTTACTTGTCATATAGAACCTTGGGTTAAAGGAGAGTGGGTTAACTGCAGTGTGACTTACTGCCTTGAAAAAAATTTCAAACAAAAGAATAAAGCAGCTCATAATTGGAAGGGTTTTTTTTTTTCCTTTAAATCAATAATTAGAAAGTACAATATTTCTAAGAGAAAAAGTCTAATCTATTTTAGAAAAGAGCTAATGTTTGCTGCATATTTGCCATGGTATATTTAAATTATCATTTTAATAAAATACATCTTTAGATCAAAGCTGAAAGAAGTCATCAGTAGTAGGCCAGTGTACTCCAACTTTTTTCTTTTGTTCCTCTGGATGATGGATGGCTTATGCTGTTCAGATTTCCACAGACAATCTCCTTCAGTCTTTTTTTAAAACTCTTCCAGTACATATAAGCAGGAGAACTGGTAGACCAAACAAAGCAAAATCCTTGTGTCCAATCACATGTTAGGATGTTCATCAGCTTAACAAGTCCATGCAGTTTTATACTTAGGTTCAGGAAAGGTGGTACCTCTGATGAAAGGTGGGCTTCTTTCCTTTTTAATGGCAGCATGAAATATATGACATTTTTATATCTTGGGCAAAAGAGAAAGCAACATTTGTCTTTCCCTCGAAGAACTCTTTGAGCAATAAAGGTAGGTCCAGGGTGTTTTTTCATCCATAAAACTCTAGTAAGCTGGATACTGGTGGAAAGAATGGGCAAGGAGTTGCTAGGAAGGTTACTTTATTTAAACCTGGTGGAAATTGTTTGAGCTTCCCACCCTTGTAAACATCCACATAATGCCATGAAAAAGTTCATGTATATTGCATTTTTTCCAGTTATGTGTCTACACAAGTTTCTACTTGGATGAGGTTCCTAGAGGTAATGTAGCTCAGACACTCCGTGGTGCCCTCTCAAATTCGTGGGTCCTCCTGTTTCTACCTTTCTTATTTTCTTGTAGGTGCTTCCACTTATTAGTATTCACCTGGGCATTGGCTGGTCTTTGCCGACGTTGTTTGCGGTCCCTTTTCCAAACCTGTTCACAGAACTCATCCATCGTATTGAGGTTGGGGTGGTTAATTAACTGCATAAAGTCTCTATACCAAACTTTTTGACTAGGGGTCATGCTGTTGGATGCCTCCTTAGCCTTGGAGCTCTCACCATCTTCTTCTTTATGAAGCAGCTCTTCCAAGTGTTCAGAATCAATTACCTCCAGGATCACTTTGAGCAGAGTTTGCATGAAGCCATGCTCCACCGCATGACAAAAGTAAGTGCCAGAGTCTTTCCGCTGAAGGGTCCGTAGCAGAAGGCCCTGATCAGTCCTGATCAAACGATCATCCACTTTTATCTGTGTTGGAGAAAAAGATGTATTTCAACAGTTATTTCTCATCAGTGTTATTCTTTGGGTACTTTAATTCTTTGGCATGTTAAAGAAGAATGTGGCAAAGAAATATGTTAAGGGGGAAATCCTTTTAGTCCTTTTGTAGTTGTGGAACTCTTGGAGCCATTATGACTTTGCTGCTCAGGGAAACTGGCAAGTAAAGAGTTTACTCCTCACTCCCTACTGCTAAGCGGTTAAAAACCCTGTAGAAATTTTCTCAGAGGGGTTTTGGAAAGTTATGTGAGATGCAAAATAAGCAACGTCTACAAACCCAGCACTGCAGTCAGGAGGCCATACCAATGATCCTGGGCCAGCTGCATCATGAGCAGTGTTGCGCCTCCATGTTTGGAAGGAGGAACCACTTGTTCCCATGTTGCTTCCCAGTACAAACCCCTCTTATAGAAGATGGGTGGTGTTAAAGTAGAAGAGGAGCAAGAGAAAGAAGTGTGGATTATGCTTCAAATTTCCAGGTTGCCCCAAATGGGCCTGCAAAAGGTTATATTTGTGTGAATGATCAGAAAAGCAGTTGTACAATGCCCTTATGTGTGTACACAAATTCAGAGAGAAGAGAATACATAGGGCATGTCCCCACAAGCATGCATGTATGGTTTCCAGGTCCTCAAAGCCATTTGAGGCACCGCAAACTGCATGCGACATATGTGCACCCATGTGCTGTGCTGCTAATTTGCAGTGCATTATGTTTTTTTGACACTGGGAAAATCCTGTGTCAGAAAAGCAGCATGGTGCATGTGACAGCAGCATGCACTACCAGAAACCAGAGCCTAGTTGGCCAAAGCCAGGCTCTGGGAGGCCAGCTCAGCACCACTGCTGCCCCAGGCGGCCCCCAGGACTGCAAGTAAGGCTGCTGGGGCCAGCACAGGTGTTGGCCCTAACCTCCCCTACCCTACTCAGGTCCCTTTACCACACGCCAGAGCACATGTGCAAGGGGATGCCTTGAGACAAACAGCAGGGGCACAAATATGTGCTTGCGCTATGTGACCCATGGGAAACGAGCACCTCTGCACATGTGCACTCATGGGGATGCATGTATATTGTCCACTAAAAATACCCCAGCAACCAAAGCAGCTTAAAAATGTTTTCAAAATGTTGGTGAGACTAGACAGCACAATGTTTGAAAATGTATGTTCCTGGTTTCTTGGGAAAATTCCTCTGAGCTTCAGTGGGGTACAGAAACTAAGTTGGCTTTCACTTTTATTCTTCAAATAATACAACATAGAAAAACACTTCAGGTAGAGCGCAAAAGAACAACAGGGTAAAAGTTATTTTCTTATAAATAATCCAATGATGTGCCTGAGCTGTAGACCAAAATGTCTGGATTTCTACTGATCCCTGTGAGCACCTGAGAAAACTGTATCTGTGCAACAATTCAATTTAGGTAATAAAACAAGGAGGGGGGGCAGAAATTTCACTTAAATGCAGGCAGGGATGGTTGGCTTCTTACTTCTATGAACACTGATTTGGCGTACAACATTTCCTATTAATTGACTTAGGATTTCC